ACGAGATAAAAATAGTTAATTAAATGTAACACGACCACAGTAAGTTAAGGGGGAAAAAAACACACCTCTCCACGCTCTCTTCCATCGGTACCCTCCAAATCCATCACAAGTGTACAAGGCTCTATACCAACACATCTAGCCATCCAAATTCCTTTGGTTGTTTGAGACCTGAAAATAAACACATCCTATCAGGTTACCACCTTGCTAATTCAAATTGTGCTAGGTTGAAGTGATATGTGGGTATTGCAAGAACGTGCCTTCCCTTAAATGCATCCATCTCTCTGAAGTTGGTACAGAACAAATGATTTAACAGTGTGCTCTTCCCTGTATAAAATAAAATGAATAGTTAAGATAAAATTCTCAGAGCAATTAAGAAAATGACCAAAGCAACGAAACTTAATTATTAGAAATATAATTAAGTTATAAAACTATGCCAAAGATCAACTTCAAGTTATTGCTCACTTGTCAGTACCACATAAGGCACAAACATGAAACATCAATCTGATATTCGCCTCAATCATAATTTACAATAACCCTCCAGCATTCAGTATTAAGCAAAATATCTTAATAACATACACATCCTCAGGTGCAAAGACTGGTGAAAGCAATCATGAAATAAGTTATCTTATCATAAAATAAGAAAAAAATGGAGATCGTGATCGTAACGAAGAGAAAACATACCACTACTTTGTGGACCCATGATAGAAACCACGGCATAGGAAAGGCCACATTCACTTAATTTAACCTCCTTCATGAAATTTTCAATCCCCGCAACATTGAACGTACCATCTCCATCAATAAGCTGAGTGGAACAACTCTCACTCTTCGCTGGATAACCAGATAATATTCAATCTTAGTTGGGACAAAAATTAGATATAAATTAAGGAAACACGAATATTGTATCAGGTGTCACTGAAGTATTATTTGCACTTTCAAAACATGTTATGTGTGGATCAAATGATCAAGATCAATCAAATCAAACCAACACCAATAAATAACAAATTAATTCTAACATGAAAACTGAAAAATAATAATAATAACAAAGCTGAAAATGTCTTTATTCGTTATGAATCCAATATAAGGAATTGGAAATTAAAATGAAAGAGAAAAAGATAAAAATCGAAAATGGAGTTACAACAGAAGGCTTTAATTTGATGAGTAAATGGACGTAGAGAAATGCATGCATGAGGGAATTGAAAGAGACGTACCCATTTGCATGGATCACGATTGGATTTGAAGCACAGAAACAGGTTAAGAGAAAGGGTGATGTCTCATGATCTTACAGAATTATTCTATCACTTCGCTTTCTTTTTTATAAATTAGCCTTCAAACTCTCTCTGCCTTATGCATTTTCCTCTCCTCCTCGTGTCTGTCATACATCACACAAATTTTATTTTATAAATATTTGTTGGAGTCCACCATTTTCTCTTTTCTTTTCTTTTTGTTTTTTTATATTTTTCTTGTCTGTGATAATAAAAATATTATTTTAGATATATATTTGGTTATTATATATATAATTTTATAGGATAACAAATAAGAATATATATCACGCTAACAGTTGATTAGTTTAAATTATGTATGTATAATTTTTCTTAAGAAATTCTGATTTAAACATACCTTTAGTCTTAGATAAAAAAAAAATAACAGTAATTAATAGGAAAAAAAAAAAGCACACTAATAACGTCAACACAAAATTTTAAATTTCGAAGTTATTTAAAGATTTAAAATGCTTTCCAAATCGGTGTATGATTATAGCTATTCTATCAATCCTGCTTATCGTATTTGTCCGATAAATCTCACGCTAATCTGGACGTCAGAACTTTCTCCATTTTTCTTATATTGTATGTATGTATTTGTTATTAATAAAAAAGCTTAAATACGTTTTTTATTTGAATCCCTTCAAATAATTTTTTTTATATTAGTTCTTATTTTTTTATAAATTTTCATTTTTAATTTCTGATACTGATGTGGTCAAATTAAGAATAGACATGCAACAATATCCCTCAATAGAACAAATTTGTATTAAAAATTGAAAATAAAATTTATAAAAAATAGAAACTAAAATAAAAACAAAATATTTATTTAAAAAATTAAAATAAAAAATTCACTAAAATATGAGAAGCAAGAATTTTTAATTTTAATTGAGACAATATAAAGTTAAGTAATACTAGCAATACACTCTTTTACACAATCTTTAACACATTATTGTTAGCTAAAATTACGTATTTTACTCTTTTTTACATATAAATTAACAATGAATCAACAGGAAAACATGCGTCAGAAAATGTAGATAAAAGAGTGTTACTGACATTATTCTTGATCCAAAAAGCACCAAATACTCACCCTAGTTTATTCTTTAGACACGCTGGGCATAGGTTTCTCTTTATTAGTTCATTGTTTTTCACTAAAAATTAACTGACCACAACTCAATCGGGAAATTCTTATCCTTTCAGTCGACATCTTCAATTCTCGCTTGCTTGTGATGTAAGGTACACCTATGAAACTTATTTCCCGAATCAGTCCAATTTATAATTTATTGCGTGCAATTGAAGTTCAACACCATAAACCACAACACAGTTATTGAGCAAAATTATAACATCGCCAGTAATCCCCGTGTGGCCCTCTAAAAAGTTGCATGGTACTGTGCGCAAATTAATTTCAATTTAACCGGCTTCCATTTATAAATTCCCAAAATAAACTCAGTTGCTGTATCATCTATATTCCATTAACAACCAAAAATGGCACAGGCAAAGAACCAAAAAGAGCATTCCTGTGACAGTAAACTATTACAGATATTGGATTTACAAACTAAACTAAATCAGGTTACAGTTAGCACAACTAGTACAGTTATTAGCTTGCCGATAATCTTGATTTCCCATTTTTGAGCCTGTGCAAATACGAAAAAAAAAAAAAAAAGTGGTTACTGGCAAGTTGAAGCCAACCCTATCCCTCCAAGATTGAAAGGGAGAGAGGCTTTCATAAACTTACAAATATAAGACAAATATAAGAAAAAAAGATGGAAAGAGAGAACAATATGAAACTAACCAAAATGAATCCTTCTTCTCTTGTGCTAATAATTCTTCAAAAGAAATGTCAGCAAAGTCATCATCTCTGTTCTCTCCAAGTCCACACGATTTTTCCTTCTCCATGCAAGCTCCAAGTTCAAGCATCTTTGAGTAGAGGTTCAAATAATTAGCATATGTTAGTTAATACAAGAGATTTTTCATTAACAGATGCCAAGCAGGCTACAAGAAATCCAAGTACCCTATGAACAAGTAGTGCAAACTGTATGATTTAAATAACATCAACATATTTTTTAAACAAAAAAGAAATGTTTATCAATCCTCTTACAAAGGCCTCAAATTAAGGCTATACCTTCTGGTATGCTGGTGAGAGTTTGAGCTGCTGTTGAAGTGAGTTATAAACAAAAGCATCCTCTTCTAAACGTTTTTGCTCTAGTTCTAGCTTGTATATCTGAAATATTGAAAAAATTAGATACTCATTGGATGTGTCTGCAAGCTTGACGACATAAAGGTTTCCTTATGAGTTATGACATCTTGCTATCTAAATTATAACCAACCTGTTGATGAAGGCGATCAAAAGAAGATCTGTCTGCCTTGCATAGTAAAGCCTTTGTTATTACAAACTTACGCTGAATCACATCAGCTCTGTAACAAGAAGAGGATGTAAATGCATATGAATAACACAGAACATAAAATTTTGGCAACCTGAGAAAAATATTACATTAAGGAACCTAGAAAAGAAAGATTTTATTTGTTGACTGAAAATGAGCAGAACAAGGTGAAAAATCTCTCCTCCAAGGTTTTCCCCTTTCACAGTTGAGAACTTGCTCAATTCCCAAATGCTAACAATTTAGAATGATCCCTCTTCCCTTTCATCCTCCTATTTATTTATCTACCTAACCCCTTCCAGCCAACTAACTTCTTTAGCTGTTCCTAACTACTTCAACTCCCTTTTGTTCTTCCAAGCAAACATCTTTCTAACTGCTGCCCTAACAATGACTAAGTCTAAGTCCGACATAAAAGTGACAGAATCTAAATTTGTGTATAAACCCCAACCCCAAGTGGAATTTCTAAATATGAATTTCACTAGATACTTCATTCCAATAACCAGCAAAAGTCACCAACCCAGAAATCTCCAATATGAATAATAGCAAATATCAGGCTAGCATAGTTGCAAAAGGGTGACAGTGATCTTAGATGTCGTCCCACGGGTAGTTGGTGGAGGGGACCTAGAAAAAACTATCTGAAGTGCTTTAGAATAAATTTGTACTTACTTGTGTTGTAGCTCATTCCTAGCATCAACCAAACTATTAGCAAACTGCACAACCTGCATGATAATTTGATAAATGATAAGAGTAATAAAAATTTAAGGTGTTTGCAGGTAACATGAAAAAATAAAAGACTATCCATGATCCTTAAAAAAAAAAAAACCTCTGTGTGAAATATAAAATGAAAACTACGAAAGAAAAGTGCTTTGCCCTTAGCAAGCCACAAGATCATTTGGCAAGTCGTGTTGTAGACAATATTACCAACCATGAACACTGAATTTATGCTATCTGTTCATTTGCACTATGTTTACACTTTATATTACGCTCCCTAAAATCTTGCAGTATATTTCCCAAAATCTAAAACCACCCAGATATATTTAAAAGGTGAGTAAGTTGCCACTGCCTGGGCCCAATATCTTCTTGAATTACCTGTACTAGTTCAATTGAAATCATTTCAAAACTATTAACAGTTGAATTACATGATTTCATCAATCTATAAAAACTACACCACTGACTGACTTGTAAATACCCCTCCCTGATTTACTCTCCAGACTCCATTATTTATAGACTACAAGACATTACGTTGTTAAAGAGGAAGCACTAAATTAAGTCTAGTTTTTCACTTGCTCCAATGTGAACGTGAACACATTTAAAAAACAAAAGACAGATATCTGCTTCATTTTATTTTTTATTTTATTTTGTCAAAAACCAATCCAATCTAATATGCATCCTCCACAGAGAATCAGGTCTTTTTATTTTGAAGGAATTCTTCAGATAACTCCCTCACTTCAACAAATAACCAAACTAACAATCTCCACAAAGAATAAGCCTAATGCCAGTTCCTAAACATTAAGCTCGTGGCTAGTGCAATCAGCAACCATTCTTTCCCTTTATTTTCTTTCTCCATGCCATCTCAATAACGAATAACGTTCTCAAAAGCACCAAAAAATATACAATCCTTGCATATATAGAGAGCAAGCACACAAAGCTAAAGACACAGAATTGCTCATTTCCCTATTGTATTATATCACCCAATTCAACACTTGCGGGAAATGGTAGCAAGCAAATTCAAAATATAACCATGAATTTCTACAATAAAACAAAAGGGCCACAAATTAATGAAAAAAAAAAAAAAACGCATCATACACCAAACAAACAAAATTCAAAATTTAAGAAAAATATACATAAAAAAAAAAAGGATTGGAAACTAAGAAAAACCTGTGCCAGCGTCAATTTCTTAGACTCATTGCACTTGACGAGTTCATCATACTGTTGTTTGATCCTTCTCTGCATAGCACTACTCGAAGAAGTAAACGGGTACAAGCACGCGGATTCAAGTCGGAGCCCCGAATCCAAACCCGTCTTCCCGCTCTCCAACTCCGCGCCTTTCTCTTCTTCGGTTCCCGAATTCGTTCTCTTCTTCTTAGCCTTCCTTTTCTTCTTCTTCCCTCTTTGATCCCCTCCCGGGCCCTCCAAACCCGACGAACCCGAATCTGGCTCCTCAAACAAGCTCGCCCATTTCGCAGAATCGGGCGGCAGAACTTCAAATAAAATCGATCGGGTCAAATGGGTCGGGTCATTTTCTCGGTCAGGGGAAGAATGGTTGTGTGCGTGTTCCTTCTTCGAGAAGCGTTTGTAGAGAGAGAAAGAGAGAAAGGTGAGAGAGAGGAGAGAGAGGGATGCGAAGAAGAGAAAGAAGAAAATGGGATCGTGCATTTGTGGGTGGCAGTGAAGTGAGATTGAGAACACAGAATAAGAAGAATAGGAAGGTGGAGGCTCCATGGACACGGAATTTTAGAGAGAGAAAAAGAAGAGTGAGAAGCAAAGTGCAAAAGAAAAAGAGATAATATTCTATTCCCTGTTCTGATGGGCGCTTCATTTTCAAGGTTCTAATATTTTTAGTGGGAAAATAAAATTAAAAGAAATAGTCTTATATAAGTAGAAAAATATTTATTCTAAACAAGATTTATCTTTTACTGATCTAGATTAACACTTCAAATTATAAATTAAGCTAAAATGTTAATCTATGTGGAAGATGTTTTGCCATGTATATAAAGAAATAAAATCAATTTTGGATCTTGAAATACTTAACTTGACCTATAATATATCTTAAGAAATTATTTTTATTATTGAGATTATTTTCCCCTCGTTAAAGATAAGGATCATTTTATGGCAGTGAGTATACGTGTCAACACAGAGAAAACAGAATCATCCAACACGACAATATTCCAAACTTCTCCTTTCAAAAATGCTATCTCATCTTCTCCCGCTCAGTAAATTAAAGATAAGCTTACGTGTAGAATATGATAAAATATGTAATGTATTTAATCATGTTTTGAATCTTTCAAATAATATTATTCTATTTATTCTACATCTTTTTGTTCACCATTTTATGCCACTTCATTTTAGTCCTTACCCAAAAAAGGTTGTAGCAAGGATCTATATGGGCTAATGAAGCCCAAACTATAAGAATTCAACAAGGATTATGCAGAAACCAAAACATATAATGAGGAAACAAAAAAATTTGATTGAATTTAATGTGCCTGTGCCTGATCTCATTACCTTGGGAAGTTTCTTACAAGTTAAAAGAAACTAAATCACTATCAATGCAGCTTACAAGGGAAAAATAATACTACAGGAAGCAAGATACTTCCAACTAAATCTTAAAAATACTTGCACATGGACTCAATCAGTATCGTCTCATCGTGCACGATGCAAATCTTCACCTTTCGCCTTCGTATTATAACAAGCACAACACATTTATATACACGTATCCACAATCATCTCAGCAATCTCTAACAGGCTTCCAACCAGAGTGTGTTGTGTTTTCTGCAACTTCACCTTGGTGAAAGCCAAATTACTAATGCTTGTTGGTGATTTAGAATTGTAGACTTTGGTTGATCCAAAAGCCTTGTATTGAATTGTGGGAAAAAATCAATCTAGAGTTTAATCCTTTTATTTTACGAGGTTGAAATGATCAGGTACATATGGCCTCCACTGAGAGTTTCTTCATGACATTTGGACATGGATCTCCTCCAAAATTGTCAGGTGACACTGTTACTGTGCACCAATTCTGTCCAACACAATTCTGCAACAACAAATTCATCATTGAATAATGAACCAAGTAATAGCAACCGTGAACTAATAAACTATAAAAAATTCATATTTTAATTAAACATTGTATTTTGCATTAGCTCTTTATCCACCACCAGAAAGAAACCATCCCGAAAGACACAAGAGAACAGAAGAGAAAATACCCTTTCAAATGCATCATATGACTTGTGAGCATGACAGCTTCCTTCATGGAAGTTTCCACACGACCCTACTGGAGTACCAAAGCTAGCAAACTTGATTGATGAGATTTTCTGTCCAGGGCCACATGACAAATGAACTTTTGGTCTCACAGGTTTGCTAGATTTTCCAGAAGCTTGCATCTGATAGCTTATAAGATTTGGCTGCCACTCATAAATATCAGCGCATACACTATCTATATCCCTTCTAACCAAAAAGATTCCGTTGGGATCTCCACCTAGTTCTTCAAACACAACCAATAAATTTCCAGTTGGCTTCAGCCATGAATGAGGAACATGGTACCTGAAATTACCAGCAGCCAGTAATAAGTTTGTCAATACTATCTCATCAACTTTACACAATTTCAGGGCAAGCTATATATTTCTCACTAACCATCTTTGAGAAGCTTCACCACAGTTACTTCTGCATTTATTCTCATTGTAAGTTCCAGCATAGTCACAGTAATCACATGTACCAGTTGCTTTATAAGCAGGCCAGTAGCGCCCAAGATTCTGTCCATTTAACCACACTTGACCTTTGCCCATGCTGTTCATGTCTAAAGCAAACGGTGCAGTCCCGGCTGGAGCGTCAAAAGTTGTCTGTAAACAATATTAAAGGTATTGTTCAAGGTCCAGCCTCTCAGCAAGTGCGTTGAAATTTCGGGGTTTAGATATAAGAGAAAATAGAATCTGAACAAACTGAAACTGATATTGACTTGATTTGATGCAAAAGACAAAGCACTAGAACTTATTTATAAGGTACTCCAAAATATCCTTATGATAAAATATAATAATGATGTTATGCATTATTTTTTAGAATATAGATATCTAGATATTTTAATAAAGTGCAACCCAAAAGACCCTCCTCTTGGTTATTCTAGTTATTTAGTAACCATTTTCAGTATACAACTACCCATTAATTTCTTCAAGTTCATCTTTGTGAAATACCAAAAGTTAGATTTAGGAAGTATGTGGTTGATCCCATATTCAATGGAAAGTAGAAAAAATTGGTTAAGAAAAGAAAATATCTATTTCTTCAACCATAATTTCTAGTTACTAGAATTATATATAGCAATAGTAATAAAAGGAAAATATCTTAAGAACAGGTGGATATATATAAAAATAGAGCAGAGCCTACATTGGTTTAACTTTAGATTTTAGAAAGGTTACAGAGGTTTCGTGATATACTCACTCTGTACCAAGTCAATGGCTGCATTCGAGAAACTAAAGATCCCTGAATCCACTCGACTGGGGAACTTCCACTGAGAGAATGAAGGCTCAAAGCTTCACCTTCAAGACCAACCTAAATGAAGCATGCAACTAAATGAATTTCAAGTGAAGTCAAACAACAAAAAGAGGTGTGGTGAATGTTTGATGAAGAACCTTGTAAGACCATTTCTGCCATGACAAGTCCCTTCTCCCCTCATTGAGACCATTTAATGCAATTGGGCCAAGAACACCAGCATTCCATGTTTCAAAATGAGGACCAACATTCTGCATGTCAGCAACAGGCAACAAGTAATAAGTCATATGATCACAACCAACAAAGTTCATGATTATGAAAAATCAGCTATGCCCAGTGGCATTTGACAATATCTTTTACTTTTTTCTTTTTTTTTTGGGGGGGGGGGTGTGGGGGGTGAGCGAAAGAGAGAGAGAGAGAAAACAAACTGGGAGTCCAACTGCAACACTTAGAAGAGAGATCTTGTTAACACCAGCTCTGAGCTTCACACTCTCGCTAAATGTTAGTTTAGGGAATTCTAAGCTTCCATATACAGTTCCTGATCAAAAAGAGATAATAGGTTCAATGCATTAATAATAAAGTTACTGAAAAATTATTATCTTCCAAAGTAAAATAGTTTATTTACACAGTTTTAAAAACGAAAGGTCAAGCAAGCATTCATGACAACTAGATCCATGCTGTCTCACATCAGGCATAGGGTAAATTACTTGATGAAGCCTAGATGCATTGATTTTGCATGCAGTGTTTCAATTTATTGAACCCTCAAAAGCATAAGCATACAACAACTATACAAGTTGAAGAATTGGAATAATTTCAGGAACCCAAAGACTATTGTTAGTGACTGAATTAAGTGATACAGATTTTTTTAGACCAGCACATTATGCTCCTCACCTGATAGCTGACCATTCACAAAAACATGCAAAGCATGCCCAGCAGATAGAACTGTTAGGACAGGATCCTTTCCATTTCTCAAAAATCCTTCATTGGGATCAATCACAACACTAGCAAAAAAGACGCAGCCAAGTATAAATCAGTAAGTCATAGTAAAGAGGAAATGAATAATATGATTTATCAATTGTGTTCTAGCCAAAGAATGTAAGAGACAAGAGGGGACAGGAGGAAGCAGAATGCAGAGTTGTATGTCACTCACTCTGTGGAGTACCACAGGTAGTCAGATAAATCCCTTGTTGTATTTAACTGTTCCAGCAGGCCAGTCATGGTGAAAGAACTATCCTCAGTAGAGGTTGTTTGTTCATTGAATGCCTGCCAAGAGAGCCCGCCATGAATAGGAACACGAGTCATCTTCATCTGGGCACTCTGGGAACCAATCTGTACAAAGATTTAGGAATTTTTACTTTGGCTGAAATCTGCCACTTGAAAAATTTCATTCTTTTCCTTTCATATATATGTATACTTTCATGAAAAAAAAAGTCAATCATGAAGACAAAACTATAACTGCATACAGAAAGTAATTAAATCCACTTTATCACATATACTTGGTTGAGCTCTTCTGTAATCAAATCTCCATTACAAATTATAACTAACCCAACTAATCATCTGAAATAAAAATGTTTAATTTTTCTCACCCTTGCAGTGTTATAAACTGTGTTCTTGCAGTCAGGAAGAATACTTATAGACCAAGGAGGCAAGTTGTAATGCATGCTTCCAAATGCCACTGTTGCATAAGATTTTGGGTTATAGTTTGCAAGGAATGCAGCACACGCTCCTGCTTTTGATTTAAAAACATGAGCCTGAACAATAATGATGAAAAATAGAAAATCAGTCTGGTTATATAGCAGTTTAGATAAGATTGATAATTCTCACATAATTGATTTGAGTTATACCTCTTGATAACTTCCAATCTTTGTTACAGTAGGATCTCCTGATACTAAGGCTGGTTCAGAGAGTTTTATTGCTCTGTGTAAATCCTTCAGATGACCCCACTTTGGTTGTCTGGGCAATCCTGCACAGAGGAACAAACAAAAAATAAGCATATATGTATATCAAATATGTGAAAATCTTCACATATAGTACAAATGAATGGAACATTTCTAAGGCAAGGACCCACCAAAGATTTGGAACAAACACAACTGCCAATTACATGAAATAGATTTTCGTTGCCACGCATTAACAAGCAACCCAGAGAAATGTACCAGCCATATTCATTATTCACAGGACTCGCAGTATATAAAAAGATTTTGATTTTCAGTTAACATTAAAGGAACAGCAGCAATGTCTAATACATGTTATGCCTCACAATATTAAAGAACAATGGATATTTTTTCGTAGATTATATTATATTTTGAGATTTTTTCCCTGTGGGTCCTAC